GGTTGGCAGGGCTTAGCAGGCCTTAGCAATCCTCAACACGAATTTGCAGGGCCTAACAGGGCTAAGCCGGGCAAAGCAGGCCTTAGCAGGCCTTCGCAGGGCTTATCAGGGTTCAGCAGGGCTTAGCAGGGCTTAGCACTTCTCCGCAAGGCTTAGCAGGGCTCCGCGGGGCTTAGCAGGGCTCAGCAGGGCTCAGTAGGCCCTGGAGGATCGGAGGAGGGAGGAGCGGAGGAGGAAGGCTTGTGGGTTGTGGGTAAGAGACATCTTGGATGCGTGTTGGGGGTTGTTGGGGACCCTCTGGGGAGCCTGAATCGTGCGGGCCTTTGAGGGGCCGCTAGGGGGGCTCTTTTGGGCATATTTCTTGCCTCTGGGGCCCTTTTTGGGGCGTCTTGGGAGTTCGCTGGCGTTCTCGACGGTTCTCTTGGGGCGAAACGCTTGCACTGTGAGTTCAATTTGCCCGCCTCTTGGGTCCCTGTTACAAAGCTCTCTTGAGGCGTTGTTGAGCCGTCTTGGGCGGCCATTGGGCCGCATTGGGGCTCTCTTGGGCCGTCTTGAGGCGGTCTTCGGCCGTGTTGGAGCGGTCTTGGGGGCCTCATTGACAGTCTTGAACGCGGCAGAATCCCAAACAACGAAACTGTCAAACATGTGGGACGGTGATTGGGACGATGATTGCCTATTGAGACCGTCTGGGGGTTTCTCTTGGAACCGTCTTGGGGCGCCTTGCGGCCTCTTGGACCGTCCTCAGGCCATCCGCTTCGCCAGCACCGTGATTTATGGCAGGTGGTGTCTTCAATTGTTGTGCCTCGACGCTGTTCGGAGGTGACTGTACAGTTGCTGGGTTTAGTTGGCAGTCGCTTGTCGTAGAATGCACGTTTGGTGCCACACGCTGGCATCATATTAATAAGGTGTTGAGCTGTCGGTTGTTAGCGTGGCAGAGGCCATTGTGGGGTTCTTGGTGGACGGGGGTCGGAGGAGGAGGAGGAGGAGGAGGAGGAGGAGGAGGAGGATTCTCCCGTCTGCTGCAGCCGCTGCTGGTATTATAAACTCACGCGCCGTTTCCTACCCATTCATGCTTGTTTTCCCCGCCAGCCAGCGGTGGTTCCCTCCCCACCGTCTTGGCACAGGGTTGGGGTCGAGGCACGAGGAGGGAGGCCTTGCGATCCCAAGGAGTGCGATTCAGAGAGAAAGAACTGCAGAAGAGAGAGTCGGGGGCGGCAAAGAGGGGGGTGATGACTAGGGGGGGTGGACATCATGGCGCGGGCCATGATATTTGTACAGATTTCATGGCGCCTCGTCTGACTTCAACACGTCCCTGGCCGCGTACATGCCGCCGGCCATGATTTGCGCCCCCCCCTCTTGGACGACCCCCTCTTGGCCGCCCCCGAAGAGAGAGAGAGAGAGAGAGAGAGAGAGAGAAGAGAAAGACCCGGAGGATGCGCTGTCAGACTTTGCAGCCGTGGGGCACTCGCTGACTGTCTTCTTCGTCTCCGGGCTTTCCCAAGGTGTTCTTGGCCCAACGCGCTCCCAGCACTTCACGCCGTTTTGGAGCCCCTGGGGCCCTCTCAGCCGTGCAAGGGTTGCTCTGGAGGCCATCCGGGCCTCCTAATCAGGAAATCCTGGGGACACCTTGTGCCAGGGACGCATCTGTGGCAGCACCCGATCCTCATCGTACTTCCGTGGCTGCCAGGCTCAGAGGGCGAGGTCTGACCCTCTCCGTCGTTAATCACCAAGTCATGAAGACATACAAGGCCATGAGAAGCATCCACTTCTGTTTGTTTACTTCTAATTTGGCGGCCAGCAATACATGGTTCTAGAACTGCAGCGAGCGTGGGAGGTCCGTACCTTCTCTCTGAGAGGCGCTGAGCTGGCCACGTTCGCGACGATACGACAACCACGCCGACGTCCACGATGGTGGCCGTGTCCGACGTCGCCGACGGCGGCGACGGCGGCGCCGACGGCGGCGACGGAGGACCTCCCACACGGCGTCGTTGTCGACGACGTCGTCCTCGACACCGTCGTGCTCGCTGCCAGCGGCCACCACTGCGGCGTCGCCGTCGGCGACGCTGGGCGTCGGCGGCAGCGGCGGTGCCTCCGCGGGCCGGGGAGCCTGCGGGCAGGCGCTGCCCGCTGCTGCTGCTGCCCGCGGAGCTCCTGGTGGCCGCGTGCTCCCGCTTCGCGGACGCCGCGCAGCCGGTCGGAAGGCCGGCGCCGGCTGCGCCGAGAAGCTCGCGGACGTGTCCGCGCTGCTCGATATCGTCTAGCCGATCCCCATCCCCATCCCCATCCCCTTCGAGGCCCCCCCAAAAGTACCCCCCAGTGGGGGATACACCCCTCGAAACCCGAAGGGGGCGGCCTATATATCCCCATCTGGGGGGGTAAGTCGGCCCGCGGGGCCCAGGCCACGTCGCTGGGGATGGGGATCGGTTAAATGATACTCAGCTTCTTCTCTTTCGGGCGTCGATCGGGTATAGCCGGGACCCTGGTGAAGGTCGGGGGCGGCCAAGAGGGGTGATGACTGGGGGGGGTGGATATCATGGCGGGGGCCATGACATCTCCCCAGATTTGATAGCGCCCCTTCGGAATTCAACACGTCCTGGGCTCCCCCCTGGGCAGCGACCCCTGTTGGACGCCACCCCCTTGGACGCCCCCGATAGGGGGAGCCGGTTAGTGATTGGGCCCGAAATCCAAAATATGGGCTGGAATCCTTAAACCAGGTCTGCGGAGGTTGGCGATTTGTCGGGTGACGGCTGTTCTGGTCAGTTGAATGGGGTGTGGGTGGCGTCTCCTTGTACACAACACTAAACCAAGTCCCACTGAGTCCAGTCCTTGCAACTACCGACTTGAGGAACCAGGGGGCGATGAATGCAGGTGAGGAAAGGTGCACCTTTTGAGGCCTTAAGGGGCCCTGAATGGGTCCCCTGGCACCCAAAAGGGTCACGAATGGTACACGCTTCTTCCCCCATCCACGTATCGCTCCCATGAATTTACGCCCGACTCTTACGTTGTCGGATCGTGTTTGTTTATATGTGTTCCGGCCTCTTCTGGCGTCTTCGAGCGTGTTCGTTGGTGCTCGCAGTTTTTCGGAGGTGTCCAGAGACCTTCGCAGATCTCCCCGGGACTGTCAGGATGCATGTTCTGTGCTGTGTATGTTTTCTGCTGTTTTTTATCTTGCGTTTTCTGGCAGTTGGGACTCGGGCCGTCTTGCACCTGCTTCACTGAGGACACGAGCCGAAGGTTCGTGCTGTCTCGGAGTCTCGGCGCGGTGGCGCTGAGGGCGCGGGCGTTCAAGGCGCAAGCCCCCTTTTGGCTTTTGCGGCTCCACCGGCAGCGGAGATCGTTCTCCATCCCGGTGCCCGCGGCAAGTCCGCCGCCGTGCCAGCCAAGTGGGCTGTGTGGCGACCCTCGGAGCACCGCCCAGAATGCCGTCACATGTGAGACGCCTCGTCTCCACCTCTCGAGGAGCTCTCGTGGGGGCTGAGTGGGCCGTGTGGAGCTCCTGTGGGGCAGCCTTATGGGTTCGCTGTGGCCCGCTGTCTTGGGGCCCTCTTGAACAGTCTTGGGCCGACTTTGGGCCCTGTTGAGCCGCCTTGGGCGTTTTCAAGCTGTCATGCTCCCTCCAGAGTCCCTCTGTAGCCAGTTCGGGGCTCTCTAGGGGTCGTCCTGGGATGTCTGGCGGCCCCCTTTGGGTGATATCGGTGGGCCATTCAAGGAACTCGAAGACCGCAAGTCAACCGATATCCGACCGAAAGAACGTGGACAGCGACACCCATTTGCGACAAGTTGTACATGTTGGTCTCTGGATTGCCTCCTGGAGAGCGTCAAGAGGTTGTCTTGAGGCCTCATAGAGGCCTCTTTGGACCTATCCTTCGCTTGATGGAACTTTGGGGTGCCTCGTGAAGCAATGTTTTTGCATGTCTTGGTGGGCTCCACTGGTCGTCGCGGAAGCCTCGGCGAGTCTCAGAGAGCGCCAGGAAGGCGTCGGGTTGCCCTGGAACCCTCGGGAGCGGGGCTGGCGCACGCGCCTGAGTGTGGTGATGGCGGCGGGCCCTCAGGAGACTTTCAGAACCCCCGCCAGGGAGCTCTTGCCCGTCTATCCCGCCTCAGCGTGCCAGAGAACACAGTGGTGGACCGAATGTTCCGCGCGGTTGCGGAAACCGCACGAGGCGCATGAGACGGTTGCCACCTGTGGTAGAGAGCGTGGCAAGGTATATAAGGGCTGGACTTTGGGATGACGAAGGGGCAAGCGAGAACGTGGCAGAAGAGTTGCGGAGAGAGGGAACGGGAGAGGGAGAGAGAGGGGGGGGAGATGGCACGAGAGAGAGAGAGAGAGATAGGAAGAGAGAACGAGAAAGAGAGAGAGAGAGAGACAGCAAGGGAGAGAGGAACAAAGAGAATGAGAGAGAGAGAGAGACAGAGAGGGAGAGGCATACCGGGCAAGTGTGAACGTTACGAAGGAGCCAGTGGAAGAAGGAGAGAAAGAGAGAGAGAGAGAGAGAGAGAACACAAACAAAAACAAACCGAAGTGAGTGGCACAACAGTTGCGTGAAGAGGAGTCAGAACTGCGCGCTGTTCTTGTACATGCGTGGAGCCTGTGGGGGAAACTCTTGCCCGTACAGGTGCTGCAGGATGGTTTACCCAGGTGAGTGGCGCAAGAAAGCGGGGTCGTCTTCAACGACATTCGCTAGTATGGTGCCCGCGCAAGGTCGCGCGTAAGCGCCCTCGTCTCCAGCGTAGCGTGCCGCGCTGGCGGCCCGCGTAAGCTGCGGCGTATGGTCGCTGTGCCATCTCGTGCAAGACCAGTTTCTGGTCTCTGTTCAGACGGGCCCCCTTTCCTTGCTCTCCTCGCTTCAAAGCGTGGCGGCGAGAGGCCTGCCAGAGGCCCGCCACGGGGCCAAATTACCGCACTTGGCGGTCCTTCCAAATCGCCCTTTGTGGTGCTCGGGAAGGTCTCATGGCGCCAGCATCTCCGAGCGGATTCCGTTCGGAAAACAATGGAATGTGCCTGGATTGTCCTGGAGTATTTCATTCTGGATTTCGAGGCGAGTTTTGTGCGGATTTCTGTTGGCCAGGAATTAAGATTACAGAGGGACCACGTGGAATTTATTTCGTTTTTCGTTCGCGCTTCGGGGTTTTGCATTGACAGAAATCCACGCAGAATCCGCTGCAGCACGTCTGCAAGGCAGGTGCAGTGAAAGGTCGACGCCCTTCTGCCCCCTTCCTCTTAGCAGAGAGACGCGGAGGGGAAGGAGCAGGGAGGATGTCTGAGGAAGAGGAAAGTACACACACCGCTACCCCTCGCCCGTTTTCCCCTTTCTGGACCTCTTGGCTGGCCCTCGTCGCCATCCGCCGGATGCGCCCCGTTTTTTCTGGTCGGAGCGCACCCCGGAGGAGGTCCCAGGAGTGGCCGCATCGGTACCCTGTGGATTCCCCAGGAGGGAGGAGCAGGGAGGATGCAAGGGCGCCCTCGAGGGCGCGAAGTTATTCGCGCTTCGCGCTTCGCCGTTCGGCTCCGATTCCTCCTCATCCTCCCCTTCTCCCCTGGGAGGCGGCGCGAGAGCGCGAAGTTAGTCGCACTTCGCGCTTCGCGCAGCGCGAAGCGCGAAGTTGGGAGCCCTTGAGGATGGATGTGGGGATCTGAGAGGTCCGCGAGCCGCCCCCCCCCCTCGGACTCAGACGTCGGGTAACTCGACGCTGTGGCGAGGTGGCCAGTTTGTCGCCATCTGCAGCCTCGGGAAGCTTCGCGCTCCTGGAGCGTCAACAATTCGCATTACTGAAATTGGATCTGGGCGGTTTGGCCTCGCACATCTTCAGAAGAAGACCCCCTATCCCTGATGCTTCAGGCCCTTCTAACTTGGGTGCCCTCCCTAATGGTTTGGGGTCCTTTTTGGGTTAATCAGGGTACCCTGACATTCTGTGTGCTTGTTGGATGTTCCTGCGAATCCTAGGGGAGGGCACCCTCGAATGTTGTTCAGCCTGGTTGGCGGAGGTTCTCACTTTCATGTTTGGGCGCCGCGCAATGGAGGGCGATGCATTGGGGGGGGCCACGAGGGCTGCCGAATTGGGGCCCTTCAGGGCCCCAAAGGGGCACATTGTTCCCCCCCATCGATCTTCCCCCATCAATTTGCGCCCAGGGAGGACGCGAAGGCTCGAGCCAAACGGTGTTGTGGCGATTTCGTGGGCCGTTTGCGTTTCGAGTTCGTTTCGCAGCGATGGCATAGCGACAACGGAGACAGAACGGGAGGAAACCGAACAAAAAGCGACCACGGAATGCTTTGTTCAGCTCGAGCCCTGAAGGAAGAGGCTGAGGGACCCGATCCGCTTCGGTCTGCGGCCGCGTACACTGCGCCACCCCCCCTCCCCCGGTGCGGAGGCTGGCGTGCGCTGCGCGCGGGGCCCGCGCCGGGCTCGTGGACGGCTGCGGCCGGCTGCGGGTCGGCTCCGTCGTCACGTGCCGCCTGCGGAGCGTGGTCGATGGGCTGCCGCGCGTGAGCCTGCAGGACGGCAGGGGTGGGCGGGGAGGAGGGAGGACCAGCACGTTGATCAGAGGAGCAGCCGGAAAAGGTGCCGTTACCGCTAACCCTTCGCCCGTTTTAGCCTTTGTGTGCCTCTGGGAGGCCGTCGTCGACACCGCTGGACTCGCCTCGACTATCCGGTCAGAATGCACCCCAGGAGAGGTCTGGGGAGTAGCGGTATCGGCTCTTCGTCGTTTCTTCGGGGATCTTCTGATTCGGGTCAATCCAGACCCGGGTCAGTCAGGCCTTGCAGAATTCTACAAAATCTTGAAAGATTTTGCATTCAAACCCAGGCCAATGCCAAGGATCCTGCAAGATCCTGCGGGATATTGCACGCAAGCCCGTGGTGGAGCCTGATAACAGAAGCCCTCGCCGCAGACGCCAACCCCGCGAGAGGATTGAGTGAGGGAGGGGGACGGGGCTTCTGAGTCGAGCGGGGCCCTGCGAATGGCGTGCCTCGTGTGGGGGATGGGGAAGGTAGGGGAGGGGGGGAGGGGAGATGGTCGCTGGCCTGAAAGGTGGTCAGAGGCACCAGATCACCTCGCCATCGGAGGTCTGCGACTCATCTTCCGAGGCCTCCCGAGCAGTGCGCTCTCCCGGGGCCTTGACTTCTGAGATATCCTCCGCACCGACACCAAAGGACGCTGGCACCGACGCCTGGCAAAACCCGGGACCCAATCGGTAGCACCAGGAGTGAAAGGCCCGCCGATTCAGCAGGCTTGGGCTCGATCAGCCCCTCGAGCTCAGATCTAGCACGCAACCAGATCGGGCCAGGAGGACTGAGCACAAACGACTTGGGCACCCCCCTCCTAATTCGGCTCATCTGGGACTTGATGCCTGGCGTCACCAACTGGCCTTTGCACCGCTCGCGCATCAAGGAGCCTGGCATGCAGTCCGAGCCACAGGAGCCGCATCGGATGTATAAACACAAGGACGACACCTCGCGCGAGGGAGTCTCGACAGCACATCTGACGATGCTGTGACCGCGAACAGCGAAGGTCTGGGGGATCAGGTCCTCCCATGGCACGTCGATCTGCACCTCCTCCTCCGCTTCCTCCGTAGCCATCTTGGCTCAAGAGCGCATGCGGATGGCACGGCTTCCCGCCTCCCATGGGTTATCATGGCGCGCGGGCGCTAACCGTTGGTGATGCTGTCCGCCCACCTCGCGGTGGGGATCGCGATGCCGGGGCGACGCTCTGACGTCGGTGCTCTGCAGCTGGGCCGCGAGCTTCTGGCTGCTCGGCAGGGCAGGCAGGCCCAGTGAGGCCCGCGTCCCCCTCGGCCTCGTCTTCCTCCTCCTCTCCCTCGTTCCCTCGTCGCCCTCGAAAAAAAACGAAATCCGTCGTAACGCTCGGCGGGTGGGACAAAAAAAAAAGCACTGCTCATTCAAAGTCGGGATGCAGGTATGTCGAAGCCCGCGATCAAGAAGATGGTCGGTGGCAGTCTCGCTCACGCTGCTTCAGGCAGAGCTCTTGGCTCCCAGCACTCATCTGGCGAGCAGGCGAGCCGCCGCGCGTGGAAGGAAGGTCACATTGACAACTCTACTCGGGCTTCTGCTCGGTGCATGATATCCGAAGCCGACCAGGCCAAACACACCACCGACATGGACGCCTTGTCTGGCTGTGTGGGACTTCCCTGAGCTGAAAGCCAATATCAAGTCGTCCAGATCGAGTCCACAAAGGATCTCGCTGGTGCATGCACGGAGCGTGGCCCTCCGAGAGGAAGACCATGCAGTTCTTCGCATCCCCTGCCCCGATGTGCAAGCCGGCGCTCGAGCAGATTTTCACGCGGGTATCGGCTTGGATGACGTTTTCGCGAAGCTTGAGATCCTGGAGCGGTCCGTCAACGGCATCTCTACGCTCTCCGAGTCCATCTTGGCAGCGCTCGTGATGTAGCAGAAGGCCATTAGCATAGTCTCATCGCTTTCTGCTATGTGGGAGGCCTTGGACTGCTGTGCAGGCGCCTGGTCTACGCTGCTTTCGTGGTGGCCGACGCCGTCACATGCCTTCACAATAGCTGCTGCATTTCAAGACGAGTTCGCTTATCTGTCTCCTGCGGGCTGCTGGTTTTCCGCCGGCGGGGGACCTGCTGATGGTGATTGGTTCGCTGCGGATGTCCCTCCAGTTGCTCGCTAAGCTGCTGCTGCCACCGGTGGCGCTCCTGGTGTCCGTCCTCCAGACGCACGAGTGGGGCTTCTTCGTGCTGGTGAGGCTCAAACTGTCCGTAGGGTGGCCGTGGACGGTTCTCATAACAAGTGTCCCTGATGCTGCTGGCGGCGACCGTGGAATCGCTGTTCCCGCTGCCGCTGCCGATGGTGCCGCTCCCGGTGGTGATCTTCCAAATGCGGCGCGTGTGGATTCTCTTCTTGCGGACGCCGTTCATTTTGCTGGTGTGGATCGTCGAGCCTCTCGGAGGGCTCTGCGCTGTCCTAGCGCGGGGCCCCTCGGACCCGTCGATGATCCTGAAGGCTCTTGTGCACAGACTGTGTCCAGATGCTGTGTTGCGCCCCGACGGTCTACAGTCTGCTTCTCGCGAGCGATATGTTTTTGCTGCTGTAGATGGTCCGCCTGATCATGCCCCCAAGGGTGATGTTGCGTTCCCTCCACCTGGTGCGGCACGCCTTGAGGAGGATCACGTAAGCGTCGACACGAACTTCCCCAAGTCAGGCGGGAGGCTCTTCACAATGTTCGGGCGTCTCCTCGGGCATCGGCGTGTCCTTTCTTCTCGTCGTTCATGTTCTGCCCCGAGAGCGTGGAGTCGAACTTCATCCCATGCGGCTCCTCATGTATGGCTTGGTGGTCCTCAGGCGGACGAAGACATCATGGAACTTAATAACCTCCAGTGTGAAATACATCAAGGTGCTATGGTTGTTGATCACCATGCTGCTCCCGAGCATCACCGAGAAGCTGCGCCGACTTGCACTCCATCTGGCGCTCTCAATTTCTTTTGGCTGAAGTTTCTGTAGGCCAGGCCGCGGGTTGCAACGAGACCGGCGTGCAAGAACTATGCAGCCTGCCCTTTGTTTGGCGCCAATGGCAGACATCCCCACCTGAGCGAGATCTCCGAGGATGCCGTCGCCAGTGGGCGCGGGCGCCTACCCCAGCTCCTGCCACAGTTCATCTCTGCACAGCCGCTGGCGACAGCGCTTTGGCGTGAGCGGGCTGCTGGTCGCAGCGCTCCTGAGATTTATGACCTGTCTTTCAACGCGTCGGGGTCACCGCATGAAGGTGGTGGACTCCTTGGTCCTCCGCCTCGCCTGCATGGGGATGAGGTGCCTGATGGTCTATTGGGCCCTTCAGGATCCTGCCGCTGATTCTCGCGCTCTCCCTGAGCCCCTTCTGCCACATGACGATGCTGCTGGCGTACTTGCTGTTCTTCAGCCTCCCGCAGGGTTTCTGCCTCATGGTCGTGGTGCTGTTGAGGGCCCTGCCGCTGCTGGTCGCGCTCTCCCTGCGCATCCTCCTTTACCTGGCATGCTGATGGCGCGCCCGCTGTACTTCAACCCCCAGTCGGGGCTTCGGCCTGACATCGACGGCGCTGCTGCAGGTCCTGCCGCTGCTGCTCCCGCTCGGCATGCACGCGAGCCTTCTGCGGGACATCTTTCTCCACCTGACGGCGCTGGGCGGCCATCCCCGAAGGCGCCGCGTTGTCACTTCTTGTATAAGGCCTTCATGGTGCAGGCGCTGATGACCAGGGGCATGGTGCCAAGCAGCACGAACTCCAGTACGAGTTTCTCGACCCTTGTGAAGTCCTTCTCGATTGTCGCGCCGTTCCTGAAGCGTCTGGTGGTGGTAGGGAAGTATCGCGAGATGAACCCCATGAGCCTTTTGCAGTTGCAGTTTTTCACGTTCGTCGCGCTGGTCCTAATGCTGCTTTGGGTGATCAGCATGCGTTTCGAGATGAAGATCCTGATGACGATCCTGACTATTTCTTGCATGAGGGTGGTTGCGCATGCTCGCGTCACGGGAGTGGTGAAGAAACCTGAATTCAACGGCGCGCCGCATGCTATATCCGAGTGCGCTTGAGCTGCTCAGCGGTGGGTAGTCCGTCCTTCTGGCCAGTGCCCGTCCATCCTGATCGAGCGCGACAGCCTCGCCCCCTACGTGCCGGCCGAGTCTGACCGTTGTCCTTGGTGCGGCCCCCCTCTTCTCCTCTCCGCCTTCCCGCCGTGCGCGTGCGCCTGTCGCGCGTCTTCCCTGTCGGTTGCGCGCTCTTCGTTGTGACCTTCGTCCCCGCCGTCGTGTTCTTCGACTCCGTCGGCGCGGTCTCGTGCTGCTTTGCCTGCTCGCTCGGACATCTCCTACAATCGCGACAAGTTTGGCGATTGCTTCGACTATGACGGCCAGTGCGACCCCTCCGACATCCACCTGGACGGCGCCGCCGCAGGCCTGAGGGGCTCGGTGCGCCAGGCGGCCTAGGCGGAGTGTCCGATCGGGGATGCTCGCTCCTCCTCCTCCCCCTCCTTCGACGACGGCGGCTCACTGCCCACCTCCTCCTCCGCATTCGGGCCAGGCTCCTAAGATTCGGGTTATGCCTCCTGCAGCTCAGCACCTTGCGCGTGGCCAGCGGGCCCAGACGACGGCGCGGCAAGCCGACCGCGTTTCGCCTCTTTGCCGATCTTTGCAACAAGCTTCGGGTGCTTGCGTGGGGGCGGCTGGGAAATGGGGCGCGCCTCGCAGGTTGTGTTTTGATGCTTTGAAACATGAGATCCGCAGCAAACGACGCGCGGCATTCGAGCAGGGTTGAATTTGAGCCTTACCGACCAACGCTATTTGGACACGCCAGGAGGCCAAAAACCTCGGATGTGACATCGACCCGAATTGTCTTATGTGTGGCCTCGCCCCCGGCACTACGCATCATCGGTTTTGATTATGCACTTGTCCTGCGATGTCCGAGCTTCGTTCCAGCCTTGCCGGTAACGATTTCATCAACAAAAGATTGTCCGAAACCGGTGCGGTGTTTTTTGGTTTTGGAGCATTTGCCCTTCGTGGGGGCTACTTTTCACGGCCTGTTCCAGGGGGCGCTGCTACGTTTTGGGCTCGAGAGGATTTGCCGCGGGATTTGAAACCAGTCAGGGTTTCGTGGGAACCTGTTCAAAGGCGGCAGCGCAAGTACGCATGCAGTTCGCGAGTTTAGACGTGCTGGCTGTGTTTCGCCACTGCCGACGAGTCAGGGGAATTCTTTGCCGTGGTGCACGGTCTAGCTCCGCCACAGCATCCCCAGACGTCCCCCGCTGGCGAGTTCGCTGCTTTCTGCGTTGCAGCGCTTTTCGCTGCTCAGGGACCTGATTTTTATTCGGACGCGCAGTTGGCCGAGAACCACTTTGCCCTCCCACGTTTGGATCCGTCTTCGCCCACACGTTGCTATTCTTGATGTACTCTCTCGCTCTTGCACGACAGTTGGAAAGTGCGTCAGCTGTGCGAAGTCAACGCCCATCGGTCCCTTTGATGAATGGGTAGGTCAACATGGTCGGATGTGTCGTTTTGGCAATCGCAGGGCCGTCGCGGGAGCTAAGAAGGCTGCGGCCGGGGAGGGCCAGTGCGGTCATCTTCGCCCCTCGGCCGAAGAGTGCGCGCGACTGGATGCCGACTTCAAGCTAGCCAAAGCTGTCGCCAAGCTAAGAGCTCGCCTGTTTCCGTCGTGGCCGCGATTGAACCTGGATGGAGCTGAGTACCGCGGACCCCCGCCAGCGCCCAAGCGAGACCGTGAGAAGTGCCAGTGGCTTCCCCCCCTGGGTTTTGGAAGTGTATTCAGCGTGGCATGGTCAGTCGGGCCCCCACTGCTGTTTGCCGCTCTTCCGTTTCCCTATTCCTTGTTGTCCTTGCAGGGGGGGGCATCGCAGCGTCAGTCTGTCGTGCTCCGACAGCGCGGAGCTTGTTGCGTGCCTCGTTTGTTACTGCGACTCTTCTCACGGTAGGGTGGCTGGCTTGGGCAAAATATGTTTCGGCCCGCATAGGGCCACAAGATACGGTAATTGAAGCCCGATCGGTAAAGGGCGCCATCCCCACCGCCCAGGTGGCTCCGCCGAACGGGGACCATGGTCGCGGTTTAACGAGGCCGCTACAGCCCCGATTTTTATTGAGGAGGAGGTCGCAGTCGTCGTTGAGTCTCTTGGTGGAGGAGGGACTTCAACTTCGAGTGTTCCATCGGGGCGCGCGCCAGGCATTCAGCCTGCAGCCTCGCATCAGCCTACCGTGGCTGATGCCTCTTCCCTACGAGGAGTTCGAAGGCGAGGCGGCTGAAACCCCGCGCGGGAAACATTTGCCTACAGTTCGGGCCGTTGAAGAAGGAACCCTTTGCGTAGGAGAGGGGCTCAGTGTTTCTTGAATGTCTGACCGTCTGTCGTAGGTTTTCCTCACGTCAGCCATGGGGAATCGAAGTTCAACGGATGGAAGACGATGGGTCTCGGGCCTCATTGAAGGTTCTTTGTTGTAGCTTGAGTGTATCTTTCTCCTCTTGTCTCCGGATCGGCTGGCTCGTTGGGCTGACCAGCGCGACGCCCCGTCCCGCCGCGTGGCCTGCTGCTCCACGCGCTCGTTCGGCCTGTGTCACCGCGTGCCCTGGCACGCATGGCGCGGCCGGCACAGGCATGATTCGTGCAGCCCGTGACCGCAAAACTTGGCTTGGGGCCAATTCGGCGGCGAGCGAGGGGGTGAAGTTCAGAAGGAAAAGGCCTTTTCAGAAGGCGGCGGGACTTCTCAGAAGCCCTCGCGCCTTCTGATAAGTTTCCTGTGTGTTCTGGGAAGGCCTAGCACACTTTTCAGAAGGCCGGGGGGGACTTCCGAGCCCTCTGAGAAGGCCGTGTCCTTCCCACTTCCCCCCCCCCCACCGTGCTCACCGCCGACCAGTGGACACTGCACACCAAAGACCTGAGCGCTCTCTCAGGATCCTTCGGCAAACTGCGGGCGGCACCACTCCAGCCCCAAAAGGGGGGCATTCAAATTGTTGTCGCAGGAGTCCCGTCGCTCCCGTGCAGCCTGACTGCTCAAGTACCAGACGGTCGGAGGCTCCAACAGAGGCCTCGTGTACCAGCTTCTTGAATTCAGTCCCGCCTCGAATCCGGGGGAAACTTCAGAACTTCCAACCGATACGAAAGGCCGTTCGGGCAGCCGCCCCGGCAGGCGACGAGGTCGGGAGGGAAGAGGATGGAAGAGGAGGAGGAGGAGGACGCAGGGAGGAGGAGTGATCAGGAATGAGGGTGGACGAGGTAGGAAGGAAGAGGAGATGGGCTGGGGGGTGGGGGGGAAACCAGGAGGGCAAACCACCCAGTAGGAGCCGACCCGGTCAAGTACAGAGAGAGAGAGAGAGAGAGAGAGAGACAGAGAGACAGAGAGACAGAGAGCCAGAGCCATATATTAATTGGCATGAAGGATTATTGTGGAGTTGCTAAGGTGACGAGGAAGAGGCGGGGAGTGGGCAGGATGCGGGGAGTGGGCATGAGGGTGAGAATGATGATGATGATGATGATGATGATGATGATGATGATGATGATGATGATGATGATGATGATGATGAGGAGGAGGAGGAGGAGGAGGAGGAGGAGGGCGAATGAGGCAGGATCGGAGGAATGAAGAAAAGAAGAGACCCCACCAGGGAGGGAGGACGGAGGATAAGGATAGGGAGTGAGAAGTGATGAATTAAGAGAAGGAGGAGGATGAGGAGGAGGATGAGGAGGAAGAGCAGGAGGGGGGGAGGGGGAGGAGGAGGAAGAGGAGGTTGAAGAAGAGGAGGACGAGGAGGAGGAGGAGGAGGACGAGGACTAATTCAAAAAGGAGGAGGACGAGGACGAGAAGGAGGAGGAGGAGCAGGAGCAGCAGCAAGCAGCAGCAACAGCATGAGGAGGATAATGGCGAACGGAGGGGGGAATCACGAGGAACGGGGACGAAAGCTCAGGAGGAGGATGTCCGCATCCTTCCTCCTCGCTACTCCGCGAGAAAGGAAGATGAAGACGACGAAGACGGTGGAGGTGTATGAGGCGGAGGAAATCCGAAGAAGAGGAGGAGTAGGAGGAAGAGGACGGAGGCGAAGGAGGACGAGAACGAAGGAGGAAGGAAGAGGAGTAGGAGTAGAAGTAGGAGGAGGAAGAGGGACGTCTCGGCTTTCTCGTTACTACCCCTTCCTCATCTTGCCTCTTCTTCCCTTCTTCTCCTGCTCATCTTCCTCTCTCTTATCCTTCCCTTGTTTTTCCTCCTGACCCATCTTCATCCGCCTGCTCCTCCTATCCCGTCTCCTCTCTCCACCTATTCCCATCTTGCTCCCACTCACCCCTCCTCCATTTCTCCCCCTTTCATTCTCCCCTCCTCTTCTCTCCTCCCCATCCTCCCTCCTCGACCTCCTGCTACTCGTCATTTTCCTCCCTGTCATCCTACTGCTTCGCTTCCCCACTTCCCCTCCGCTGCTCCCCCATCCACTCCGCGCCCCTACTCTTCCCTTGCCCGTCCTGTCTCCCTCATCACCCCTGGTTCTCTTCCCTCCTTTCGGGCGAGGAGCTTGAGAACCTTCGCGTCGACCTGTCTCTCGAGTGCCGGGAGTGCCTGTGCCCAGGGGAGCGGCCGCCACGCGTCCCCCCCCCCCCTCCGCCTCTCCCGCCTGTCCGTCTCCCGGCTCGCTTCTCGCCCCCCCTGCGCGGCGCCTCACAAGAAGGGGGGAGGCGAGGGGGAGAACCGGGATAGAGGAGCTCAGGGATAGGGGAGAGGGTGAAGGAGGAGGGGGAGGAGAAGGTGGAGGGGGATGGAGGAGAAGGAGGAGGAGAGGGTGGGATGAGGAAAAACACAGGGACAGAGGAGAGGGATGAGAGGGGCTGGGAGGTCGTCCATAAGGAGTACAGGGGGGGAGGATGATGAGCGAGATTCAACAGGACGAGGAGAGAGAAGAGAGAAGGATGAGGAGAAGGAGGAAGAACAGGAGGAATAGGAGGAACAGGAGAAGGAACAGGAGGAGCAGGTAAAGGAGGCGGTGGGCGCGGGGCAGCCTGAGGAGGCCATGGGAGTTGAGCAGACGACGGCGACCTCGCGCCGAGGAAGAGGAAGAGAAGGAGGAGGAGGAGGAGGAGGAGGAGGACGACGAGGAGGAGCGCCAGCAGAGGCTGGAGGAGGAGGCGAAGGAGGAGGAGAAGGAGGAGGCCGCGGTGGCGGCGGCGGCGGCGGAGAAGGCCGTAGCCAGGCCGAGGGCGCCAAAGGAGGGCCAGGCGACGCTCGCAGGAGAGCCGGTTGGGAGGGTCAGGAGGAGGAGGAGGAGGAGGGAGGAGGAGGAGGAGGAGAGGAGGAGGAGGAGAGGAGGAGGAGGAGGAGGAGGAGGGGAGGGGGAGGAGGAGGGAGGAGGAGGAGGAGGAGGAGGAGGAGGGGGAGGGGGAGGGGGAGGAGGGGAGGAGGAGGAGGAGGAGGAGGAGGAGGAGGAGGAGGAGGAGGAGGAGGAGGAGGAGTGGGAGGAGTGGGAGGAGGAGGAGGAGGAAGAGGAAGAAGAAGAAGAACATGAATAATGATATGAAGAAGAATAAGAAGAAGAGGCGGAAGGAAAGATGAGGAGGTGAACGTGGACGCGGTGGAGGACGAGCCAGGGGCGGACACCAGGCCTCGAAAGGCCGGCGCGGGGGCCTGAGGTGCGAGATCTGCCTCCGCAGCGCAGAAGACCAGTTCCACAGACGACCGGTTCCACAGGGACCAGTTCAGCAGACAGCCAGTTCGGCAGACATCGGTTCAACAGACGACCGGTTCAGCAAAGCCCAGTTCAACGCAGACCGGTTCCACAGGACCGGTCCCGCAGAACCGGCCTCGCGGAAGTGGCTCCACATGCCCGGTTTCGCAGGACTTGTTCCACCTGAGGTTCCACAGGCCCAGTTCTACAGGACCGGATCGGTCCATTGGCGATCCGAACACCCCAGGCACTCTGGGTATTCCCGGTGCTCCTGGCCAGGCACTCGAGCCGGGTGATCCGGCACCCGCCCCCCCGCCCGACCCGACCCGCCCGTTAGGGTATTCGCGTGCCAATTCGATGATAGGCAATATTCTAATGTCCCGCCCGCCTGACCCGACCCGCCCATCTGTCAGGGTCCGCCCGCCTGACCCGACCCGTCGCGCCCGTCAGGGTCCACCCGACCCGTCCCCCCCGTTAGGGCACTCGCGTGCCAAGTCGATGACGCATCTTACTTTACTGTCCCGCCCGACCCGACCCGACCCGCCCGTTTGGGTCCGCCCGCCCGACCCGACCCGTCCCGCCAGCTCGAGTCCGCCCGCCCGCCCGACCCGTCCCGCGCCAGTCAGGGTACACGCGTACCAATTTGATGATGCATCATACTTTAATGTCCCGCCCTCCCGCCCCAACCCGACCCGCCCGTAGGGTCCGCCCGCCCGACCCGACCTGTCCCGCCCGTTCAGGTCTTCCTGGATATTTCGTGCCAATTGGATGATGCATCATACTATATTAACGTCTCGCCCGACCCGACCCGACCCGACCCGCCCGATAGGGTCCGCCCGCCAGACCCGACCCGTCCCGCCAGTTTGGGTCCGCCCGCCCGCCCACCCCGACCCGCCCGTTAGGATTCTCGCGTGCCATCTCGATGATGCGTCTCACATGAATATCTCGCCCGCCCGACACGACCCGACCCGCCCGTTGTGGTCCGCCCGCCCGACCCGACCCGACCCGCCCGTTCGGGTCCGCCCGTCCGACCCGACCCGTCCCGCTCGTTCGAGTCCGCCCGCCCGCCCGACCCGTTCCGCCCTTCAGGGTAAATATTTCAATGTCCCGCCCGCCCGACCCGACCCGCCCGTACGGTCCCGCTCGACCGAACCAGGCCCACGGTAGGGTCCGCCCGCTCGACCGGTCCCTCATCTTTCCTTCCCTCCCTCATCACTCATGTATGCTACTTCTTCTCACCCCTCATCGCTCCCTCCCTCATCCCTCCAACTCTGAGCCCGTTTTCCCGAGACATCTCGTGTGCGCAGTAGCATGTACATGGCGTGTCGCAAGTACAGGGTGTGTCTTCTGGGACGTTACAGCTGACGCTTTCTCCTTTTCCTCCTCCACCTCCTCCTGCTCCTCCTCCTTCATCCTCCTCCTCCTCCCTCCGTCTTCCCTCATTCCTCGTACCCCCTACTTCTCTTCATCCCGTATCCCTCATCCTTCCGCCCTCCTTCCCTCCTCCGTCCTTCCCTCATCCGTCGTCTCTCCCTCCTTCACCCTAATTCTCACCTCCCTCCCTCATCCCTCCCTCATCCATCTCTCCATCTCTCCTCCTTCGCCCCTCCCTCCCGCCTCCCTCATCCCTCACCCTTCTCTTCATCCCTCCCTCCTTGCCTCATTCCTCCTTCCCTCATCTTTCATCTCTGCATTGCTCCCTTATCCTCCCTCGAGAAGTGGTACTTGGGACACGGTCGCTGGGAAAACGGTTCCAGGGAGGAGAGTGCACATGAGAAACGGTTCCAGAGAAGAGGGTCCGTGGAAACGGACCCGGGGAAGCGGTTCAAGGGAAATTCCGGGGAAACGGTTCCAGGGAAACAGTTCTGGGGAAACGGTTCCGGGGAAACGTTTTTCCGGGGAAGAGGTCTCCAGGGAAGAGGTTTTTGCCGGGGAAACGGTGTTCCGGGGGAACGGTTCCGGGGAAACAGTTCTGGGCAACGGTTCTTGGGGAAACGGTCTTGTATCCCTCCGCGGTGTCGTTGGGGAACATTTTGGGAGGCAAAGCCCTTCGCCTCACCCAGGCGGCCACCTGGCTGTTTTTGTCAAGGTCTGCCAGGGTGCGCGCTGGACGCCTTGTCTCCCCTATGCGTCGTGCGCATGCGGACTCGCGGCCTGAGGAGGAGGAATTCCCTGGGAATACCCTGAGAAGCAAGTGTCGTGCTCCGGAGGAGGATGGAGGGGGAGAAGGGAGAGGAGGAGGAGGAGGAGGAGGAGGAGGAGGAGGAGGAGGAGGATGAGGAGAAGGACGAGGAGGAGCAGGAGGAGGAGGAGGAGGAGGGGCAGGTGGAGGAGGGGCAGGAGGAGGAGAAGGAGGAGGAGGAATAGGAGGAGGTGGAGAACGGACGCGAGAAGAGGAGGTGCAGGATGAGGGGTCGGTGGATGGAGATGGAGGAGGTTGCAAGAAGAGGAGGTAGGATGCCGCAGGGGAAGGCTGAGGAGCCCTCTCCTCTTCGTTTTCTTCCGTATGCCCACCTCTCTCACCCTCGTTCTGCGCATGCGCGCTGGTCCCGCCGTGAGTTCCTTTCGAGTTGGCATTTCTAGGGTGAGCGCCGAGCCAGCGCCGGGGGAGGGACGGAGGGAAAAGGGAGGGAGAAGCTAGAATTTCAGGTATTTAGGCTTGGCTTCAGAGCTCCAGTAGATCGGTGTTGAGCTTCGCAGACAGACAGACATGTATGATACCTGTTATCGCATCGGGGCTTATAAGGAGAAGGATCTCTCTTATCTCCGCTCTGTTAGCGGAGCCGCCTCTCGGGGCGGCGCGCGCGGCCCCCCCAATCATCCCCTCTCAGCAGCGCCAGCGCCGTGGAAGTGTATAGTACCTCCTACGCGGTCTGGCGATATCGCTACATCCAGAAAGATATATGGATATTCCCAGATCGGCAAGCACACGATATCACCACACCTGTTCAAGCATAAGGTTATTCTGAGATCAACAAGCACACGTTCATCACTACACCCGGTACAGCATACGGATATCATTCGAAGATCTACAACCACACATTCATTCATCACAATGGCGAGAGAGTTCATTGCTGGACAGCTACCCCTCGAAGAACCTACGCGTCAAACACCACCCGGCTGGAAGCCAGGCGTAGCGAAGCATGGCATCACAAGTCTCTTCAGGAGTTGAGCTTACGGTGGGGATCGAAGGACATCGAGGATGAGAGCGTTGCAGCATTACTTGTATTGCAGCGCCTCCAGGGCGGAGCCTTGAAGCAGACCATATTTCAAATTTGCACGAAATGGAGTTGACTTGGTTGGTGAGAGCGTTTCCGCTCTCACGAGGGTCGCGGACATAAAACGTCAGCTCGGCATCCAAGCTCAACCCTCTGGATTACCTTTGTTCACAAGATGGCTCACTGCAGAGTATGCATCACGAGCAGGATTCCGTCGGCATCTCAGTGGATACGTTTTTCAGTTGCAAGCGTGGATCTTGTGATCGTCTCTTATATATTTCAGACGTGGAATTTGTGTTTGATGAAGAACTTGGTCAGGCTGGATTAACCATCGACGCTGTTGGCAGAAGCTGCTTGATGTTGGCAGGTTGTGATTTACTTGGCAAGCGAGTAGACGACATCAAGGTCAATATCGACGGCGACCTTAACATATATGGAGAGAGTAATGCTATCCTTTCTCGGCTTGTCACGCAGAATCAGGCCCATAACAATCCTGAGCAGCGCGGCGGCTACTGGGTCGACTCTGATAGGAGTACGACGAAGACTATTACTACAGCCGTGGCTACTAGCATTATTATTATGATGAGTACTGGGAAGAAGAAGAGTACGAGCACGACGGTTCTCATTATCACGATGGCGACGCCTACGAAAGGATCAGGCAAGAGGAACAATCTTGGCAATTGCAGCCAGCGCGG